AATGTGGGTTCACTTGTTCCCCACCACCACCTTCCACCGTGGCCAACATGAGCAGCCCTGAGAGTGGATGCTGTGGTGACCCCATCACTCCTCAAAGCCCCACCGTCAGGAGGGAAGAGTTTAGAATGAGTCTTTTATTTATAAATTTATAAATTACTTGTTTTTAAATTTGATTTAAAAATGATAGTTCTAACAAGGAAACAGAACTTTAGGAGCCAACAAATGGGTACATCAGTTGTTTGAAAGCAAGGCAGCAGATTCTACACACTCAAGCTTTAAGATATTAAAAGAGGACATGATTTCTCTGCCTTTGTCTCCAGCATCTCAGTGGCACTGACCCTAACATTTTGCTAAACAACAAGAAGTAGGGTGGGTGGGATAGAGAGAGTGAGACAGAGAGAGAGAATGAATCATACACCCCCCCCATAAAAAGAACAACCATCCTATTGTTTGGATGGGTCATTTTCTGGTTCACAATGAGAAATGATCCTAGGACAAGAGAGGACCATAGAACTCAATGAAGATATCCAAGATTTTAACATAGCCAGCACTGAGCACTGGTGTGTCCACCCAACCCACCTAAAATCCTAAAAACAGTGCAATGCAAACTAGACTTGCTCAGTGGGCACTGAGTCCTGAATGCCTATTGGAGGGGAGATATATGTTGGGGGTGGGGGAGTGGAACGGAGTGATGGAACCCTGAAACAGAACCGCATATGGAGGTTCAACTTAGTTGCCTTGTCCTGCACTGAACTGAACTGACTAAGGTTAAGAACATGCCAAGAGATGAGCATCCAGTTTCTTGTTTTGCACTGATTTATAGATGCTGAAGTGCAGACTGCACTCTGAACCTGCTGTGGCCAAAGTCCATGCCTCCTTGGGAAGTCTCACAACACACTCAAAAGCCAACAGTCATCATTGTCCTAGAAGTCCCCTCTGACTCGCCCCCCCCCCCCGCCACATCTTCACCAATTAGTGCACTTGCATTGTAGGTGGGTCCATGTTAAGGGATCATTTCTCTAGACATATTCTTTACTTCATACTGTCTCTCAACAGTGTTCTCTCTCTCTCTCAGAAATGGAAGCAGCGTATGCTGTTATGAAACTTAAGAGAGGAATGATGGACTAGAAGCAGGAGGTATTTGTGCTTCTTGTTCTTCCTGACATTTCATAGCACCTAACACCATTCATGAGTTGATCCCCAAAAACAAATCTACAGAGAAAAAGAAGGGAAAGTGCCCTTCCTATATCCAATGCCATTTGGGGCTGAGATCCTGGACGGAATTCACCACAACACCTTCAGACAAGAGTTGCTATTTGCTTCACATCATAACATTAGAGTTGCTTCAAGGGTATCTGTTTCTATGACCAATTAAGTAAAAAAATGTTTTCCATCTCCGACAGGCTTTCAGGATGTTCCTGGAGTGAGAAGAACTCATTAAAATGAAGGCAGTGACATTACTTGAGGACTGGCAGTGACATTGCTCTAGGAATTACAGAAAACATCATCAGGGTTGGTGGTTAAAATAATCAGCTCCAAATTCAGAAAAGCTTGAAAAATTAAAATGCACTCCCATATCTCACCACCTTTCATCTACAAGCAGTGCTTAATTAGGGATCTGTCTTGAAATAAATTCCATGGTTGAGATTTGGAATATGTCAAGCAATCACCAAGAAAAACATATACAAAAACACCTCTGCCCACCCCTCCAAAAGGTTCATCTGCTGGGGACCCTTTGCAAACTCCTATCTCTACACCTTTTTGCTTCCACTTTCTTGCTTACCATCATTAGCCACAAGAGCCAAATCATGCATACAAATGGTAACCACCAGCCATATCTTAGGTGGCATTCAACTCAGTATTCCTCAGAGTAGACACACTGAAATTAATTAGCATGCCTGAGTTAGGTCCACTCATTTCAATAGGCTTACTCTGAGTCAGTGGTTTTCAACTAGTGTGGCGTGGCACCCTGGGGTTCCTTGAATGATGGTCAGGGGTGCCGTGGGCAACACTGGCCTCTGTCCCTCTTTCCTTCCCTCCCTCCTCTGATGCCCTCTCGTGTCTCTGCCTCCCAAAGGCTTGCACAGCTGTTTATTGCAGCAGCCCTGGCTACAAGCTCCCCAGGTGAATGGTGCCTCTGGGGCAGACCAGGGGTTGCTTCCCAGGCACCTCTCTTTGGGGGAGGGGGGGCATCTCAGAGACCAGGGGCATTGGTGCGGTTGCAGGCAAGGGGTGACATAACTGGGATCCTGAGTGCAACAAGGGTGCTGCAGAAAGAATGTAGTTGGTTAAGGGAGCCGTGGACCCCAAAAGGTTGAAAACCTCTGCTCTGAGTATTAGCCTTACTCTGCCAACCTAGCAGTTACAAAGCATACCAGTGCAAGTAGATAAATAGGTACTGCTGTGGTGGGAAGGTAAACGGCATTCTGTGTGCTCTGGCTTCTGTCACGGTGTCCCGTTGCGCCCCCAGCAGTTTAGTCATGCTGGCCACATGACCCAGAAAGCTGTCTGCAGACAAATGCCGGCTCCATCAACCTGAAAGCGGAGACGAGCGCTGCACCCCATAGTCAAATTCAACTGGACTTAACCGTCCTTTACCTTTACCTTACTCAGAGTAAAATTTAGTTGAATACTGTGTTCAAATCAGTGTTTTTCTTTTAAAAACCACTTCAAACTGAATATTTTATGTGTTTTGGAGATAAGCTATGCCTAGTGACAATCACATACCCATTTCTGGCAGCGAGGCAAACTAAAGCTACTATAAACCATGAAGTGGATGAGGGAATTGGCACACGAGAGGGGAGGAGAAGGAGGACATCCCACACAAGGCTGCTGTATGCTCCCAATAGGCAAACCTTTAGGGGGGGAGGGGGGGTTTCAGTGAGAACATTTGCAAAGTGGAGAGACCAAGTGGAGATCGCAAACAAGTACATGCCTCAACCTTGTTCTACTGGCTACAACAGATGGCTTCTTTCAAGCCCAGGAAAGGTCTGTGTGGGTGTACGTGCAGCCACAGGTTCCATGCTGGTGACTCCTGGGCCAAAATGACAAACAGCACTAAGTTGCAGCTTCAGTTATCTTTTATAAAAGTAAGTAAGCAAGCACTGATCAAGTTTGCATCTCTCTTCACAAATGGCTCAAACGCTCAACAGGCACACTTGCACCCTGGCCTGGGAGCACTAATAGGTGGGTCCCTCTGTTTTTCAAGGGTGAGAGGCCCTGCACGTACTCTTTATGAGAGCAGCAAGGTTGCAGACCCATACAATAGCAAGAGGCACAGTGGGTCTTTCATGAGGAAACTCAGACGGAAGTCAATTTCTCACTCTACAGGAGCCTGGCTTGCCAACACATTTAGCAGAGTATACAAGTTAATCAGATCTGGAGAAAATAAAACTAGGGATTTACCATTTATATAGGAATACAGGTTATGAAATAAATGGATTTTGAGTCATAGGCTTTTCTGGCAGACTCTTATTTATCCTTTTCAAATCTTTAAAAAAATAAATACAGACCACCTGTAAAGGCAATCCTGATTTCCCCTCGCCAACATTCCCCAGCCCTTGTGTGAAGAAGCCGTATCATCTTTACAATGGGAACTTTCCCTATCATCACCAGCAGGCAAGCTTGTGCTAATCCAAACCCACTGAAAATCCCAGGAGACTTTAGGCTTTGTTTGTTTGGGAATATTGCAAATGCAAACACACACACACAATACCTCCTCATGCGAATAAAGAATAGACTAATCTCAACTGCATTTCTAAATCCTCCCTACTTCATGCCCATCATTCAAGGAATCCACACTGGGTATGAACATTTCACTATTAAGATTTGAAACCGCATAGTATAAATGGTTTCTCCTTGCTGGTGAATTCCATAGAAAAAGGTGCAAACAAAAACCAGCCTCTTCCAGATCCGCAGAGCGAGAGCAGCTGGAGAGAGTCCTGGGTCTATACAAAGCATTGTTTAAAATGGCCTTTCTTAGAGAGTTAACTGCACCATGACAGGGGTACCCAAACACCATCCTCCCCCAACCAAACCTCGTGGCAGAATTAAGACACTTTGGTCCTTTTGTGAAAGGGCTGCCTTTGCCTCCATCACTGCTCTCCTCCTCCTCCCACTACTTAAGGGTTGCACTCCAATTCTGTGGTTTGCTGCCCTGTCTCCTGGATCGGGGCCGTGACATCCCCTCCATTCTGGCACTTTATAGAATGAATGTGCTCGCTTGAATGAGAGAAGCAGGCAGTCACTGAGGGCAAGGGAGGGGGCAGCAGCAGTTTAGTTTTCAAAAGATGGCTTTTACACCTCTTCCCTCCCGTAACTCAGGTTAAGCGTGTGGGTGAGAAATGCCAAAGGAGAGCAGGTCAGCATTTTGCATCTCTCACACAGGCTGCAGTTCTCTCTCGTTCTGGGGCAACGCATCCTCTCCCCACCATGTTAGTGTACCACCTGCTGCCGCCTCTACAAATGCAAAGCATCCATTTTGCCCCCCAATCTCCATTAGCCCTAGGGAGGCTTTCCGAAGTCTCCCACGGCACTAGCCACTGCTCCATATATGGGAGCGGGATGCCCCTGCATTCAAAACCCCCCAATCGAACAAAATGGATGGCCCTTTCTTTATACCCACAGAAACTCTAGGCAACCGAGCAAGACTTTTCTAGAGCGATCCCTATGAGGAGCGTCTGTTGGGGCTCTGGGTGCAACTCGGAGCCAGGACTTAAGAACCGTGGCTCAGGTCAGAGAGATCCGCCTTCGACTTAAAAAAAATAAGAGCCCGGCTGAGCATGTGCAGAGCGCCCTTCTTTCGTTCCGCCTGGCTCTCCAGCAATGGACCGGAAGAAGGGATCTTAAGCCGGCGAGTGTTGGCGTTTGCCTTTTCTCTCCCGCAGGAGATCCCGCTCCTGCAGCCTGGCTCTGCGCTCTCCCCGCAAGGCGCCTGGAGGAGGGGTGGGTGGGGGGCGAGCGAGAGGCCGCGAAGGGCGTGGGCAGCAGCAGCAGCTCACCTGTTAAACACTTTCCGGATCCTCTGGCGCACGCTGGAAGCCGAGGGGGCGGAGATGCTGCTTCTGCCGCTGCTGCCGCCGCCGCTGCCCTCGGGCGGCAGGTTCTCGATGGTGGCCACGACATGGTTGGGCTGCTGCTGCTGCTCCGGAGAGATCATCGCGGCGGGGCTGGCGCTCAGAAGCGAGCAGCAGGGCGCATCGTGCGCCGCCCGGCCGCCCAGGCGAGAATCCCGCGGGAGATCCAGGAGCAGCAGCCGCGGGAGAGGCTGCGCGCCGGGCTTGAGCGCTGCTCCTCGGGGCTCCAGCTCCAGCCGCCGCCGCCGCCGCCGCCTCCTCAGTGCTGCTCAGCCATGAAGCGAGGGGCCGACTCCTCCTCCTCCTCCTTCGCAGGCAGCAGCAAGTGTCCGCCAGCAGCGGGGGGTGGCGGGGCGTCCGTCTGAGGCAGCCCGGAGAAGCGGCTGCCTCGTGCGGGTGGCTTCGCGGCTCCTCTTCTTTTGTCTCCCCTCAGCCCCGTCCGGCGCCTCTGCCTGCTCTCCTCACAGCGCGGCGGTCAGGTGCAGCGCCTGCCGCGAGCTGGCCGCCCAGTCCGGCCAAGGGGGCTGCCTGTGCGCGCGCGCGCGCTGAGCAACGCAGAAGTGCAGCAACCAGGAGGAGAGAGGGAGAAAGAGCGAGGGGAGAAGCGAAGCAGCCCCACGCCCCCTCCCCTCCTCGAATCGCGCCCACCAGAGGGAGCACGTGCTGGCAAGCCTCTCCCAGGCCGGCCATCCATCCGCCCACCGACCCCTCCCCCGTGTCGGCTTCTCTCTCTCTCTCTCTCTCAATTGTCTGCCGGGAGTTGTAGTTTCTCCATCTTCCAGGTGTTTCCCTTCAGACCCCTGATTAGCTTCAGAACCACCCGGCCTTGGACAGCGGCAAACACCGGAAGCTCGCTTGCAACTCGGGCTGAGCAGACCCCACAGATCTGGCGCCAAAAATAAGGGGAAAGCTCATGTCTTGCTGCAGCACCTCAAATACTTGATTCTGAAAAGGTGGTGTGGCAGAGCAAGGTGGCACTTTCTGTCTGGCCTCAAGTGGCAAAAAATAATAATCCTGATCTCAGGATTGCAGAATTTACAGCTGTCAGTTCTGAGGGAAGACAAAGAACCACAGCCCAGGTGGGGCTCGCAAGCTTGAAGAGGAAGTGTGTGATTCTCCTCAGCTGGAGGCTCAGGGCAGGTGAGGGTCACGTGCCTCATCAAGCCCAGAAGGTTTTAAAGGAAAGCTGTCCTGACCAGGATGCCGTCTCTGGTTCTTGAGGAGACCCTCCCCCAGCCCAAAGATATCGTATTTGGGGTGGGTCTTCTGAAGTGCGTTCCTGCACCTTTTGGTGCAAAAAAAAAGAAAAAAAGCACTGCCTAGGACTTTGTGCATGCAAACCGTGTGCTCTGCCACTGAGCTATGCCCCTTTTCCTATATACCAGGGATTATTTTGGGGGGAGGTGTCCACTACCCCTTCCTACTCCTTGGTGTCCTCCCTGAAAGCAAGCCAATACAGAGCATGCATTAGTGGCAAATAATGTATAAATTCAAGAGGGTTGTGGGACACAGTGTTCGAGGAATGGAGAATGTGTGGTTGTTAGGATCTGATTCCCATCAGTTCCAGCCAATGTGGCCAATGGTTAGGGATGATGGGAGGTGTAGTCCAGCAACATCTTGGAGGGCCACAAATAGATATTGCTTATTGCTTGTAAGCCGCTCTGAGCCCGGCCTTGGCTGGGGAGGGCGGGGTATAAATAAAAATTATTATTATTATTATTATTATTATTATTATTATTATATCCATGACTGGCTAAAGCATCAAGCTAATATGCAGGAGAGCCTTGCACTCAACATGCAACTGCATGTTGCAGGTTACAACTGCATCCGTGTTCCCACCCTGAATAGAAAAGTGTGAGTGAAAGACTCACTTTCCTAAATGTGCCACGGGCACACATGAAGGAAGTCCAGGGCTTTCTGCTGTGGGTCCCCAAGTGTCTCTTTTCAGGCAGCTCCCCTTGTTGTTGTTTAGTCGTTTAGTCGTGTCCGACTCTTCGTGACCCCATGGACCAGAGCACGCCAGGCACTCCTGTCTTCCACTGCCTCCCGCAGTTTGGTCAGACTCATGTTTGTAGCTTCGAGAACACTGTCCAACCATCTCGTCCTCTGTCGTCCCCTTCTCCTTGTGCCCTCCATCTTTCCCAACATCAGGGTCTTTTCCAGGGAGTCTTCTCCTCTCATGAGGTGGCCAAAGTATTGGAGCCTCAGCTTCACGATCTGTCCTTCCAGTGAGCACTCAGGGCTGATTTCCTTAAGAATGGAGAGGTTTGATCTTCTTGCAGTCCACGGGACTCTCAAGAGTCTCCTCCAGCACCATAATTCAAAAGCATCAATTCTTTGGCGATCAGCCTTCTTTATGGTCCAGCTCTCACTTCCATACATCACTACTGGAGGCAGCTCCCCATCACACTTTAAATGTTTATTATGGTAAGCACTGCAGACAGAATTCCTCCGTTAAAGTGTGGAGCTGCAGTTAGAATTGCAGTTTTGTCCAGTGTTTCTTGGTGTCTCTCTCTGTGCATATAAAGGTAAAGTGTGAGGGAAAGAAGTAAAATGTTTCTGGAGGCAAGGTAGACATCAAATAGCATGCCCAGCATATGCTTGTTTTATGTTTTAATTGTGCCTCTCTTCTAACAAGTTCAAGAAAGCATACAGGGTTTCTCCATAACATTTTGTCCTTACAACAGTCCTGTGAGGTAGGCTAGGCTGAGAAATAATGACTGTCCCAAACTCCTTCAATGAGCTTCAGGCTCAAGTAGGGATTTTAATTCAAATCTCATCAATCACACTCTACCACATTAACGACAACAACCATTAACCCCAAAGGATACATCTCTGCCTTTCACTTTTAAAATGTTTCCTATGGCAAACAAATCTTTCCAGGTAGCATCAACATAATTTTTTTAAACCACAATATGTAATATCAACATATAAAAAGTAATTGGGATCCTTCCCATAGTTGATTGCAGGGCAGATGCAGTTATGGGGTGAATGTGTTACATGATACACACATAGGCCCTGTTGTCCTGTTAGGGCCAGCATGAAAAAGATCATCTGGAGTTACAGGTGTATCTTACACTTCTTTGCTACAATTTCAGAGAAACTCCATTTTCTTTTTCTCTCTGCTTTCAGAATGATTTATTGTGCAGCTTGAATTTTACCAGCACAGCTTAGCTTTAATCTAAAGACATCTGTGTTACATAATTTCTGAATTTGTTATCATGAGATCATGAGAGGAGAGCAGACATGGTTAGATAGTATCAGCCTAACAAAGTAAGATCCATTTCATCATTATTTCTTTTATATCTCTGAACGTGTAAGTTTGAGGAAGAGCCCTGTGAGACTCAGAAGTCTGGACATTGCTTTAGTCCAAATAAAGCCATGGTATCACTTGCTCTGTTTCTGCTTTTGAACAAGGAAAAGACCTGCCACAAGTTACACATGCAGACTAATCCATTCAGCAACTGCAACTTCTAGTGTTGACTCACAGGTGTGAAGCAGACATTGTTGATCAAAACATTCCAGCCAGGAATGTTCTATATCCCCTTGCAGTATCTCAAACTGAAGTGGTGAAGCATGGAGTGATGGACATATGTGGTGCAATGTTTGCTCAGAAGTATTGTGCCCTGTGAGACTTTGTCCAAGGTAAATTGTTTAGGTTTGCAATCCTAGTGGGGCTACTTGCGTATGGAAGAGCCACAATAGGGACATCAGCATAAGGGACTATTCACCATGTGCCTTTAACATTAAAGTCTATAAATAATTAAAAACGGAGTAATCTTCCTGGGAGACAGATTGATTTCCTCTGTATTTATTTCTTTAATTCCTAACTGGCATGTTTTATGATTGTTCCCATTTGTCTGTGATTGCTGAACACTGATGAGCTGAGAAGAATTATTGCTGCCTGATTACTTTTCGTTAAAAAACACAAGAACCCACCTTACTATTACTGAGCAAGCGCCAACAAAATCGTTATTGACTCAAGAGGTTCTTCTGACTGGCATTTAATTACCGGTAGGTGATGAAGAAGGATAGAAGATGTGAGGTATATTATAGCTATTACCTCATTGTGCCTTGCTGGGGAGAAGACAGTAGCCAAGGTCAGACCACAAAAATCCCACTCACTTAAATACGCCTACTTATGGGTCACAGATTATGGGCCACACCAAGGCCCAGTGCACCTGGTTGTATGATGAACACACCCAGGGTTTGGCACTAGAACTGGCTTGTCTGGTGGGGCAGAGGCATGGTGCTAGCTTCCCACAAGGTGGGGAACTGCTGTTTACCAGGAAGGGATGGGATAAAGGAGAGGCAGCAGGGAGGTCAACATGGTACCAACACACTGGTAGAGCCAATTCAGCATTCCTGCTGGTGTGCTTGTTGCAAAAAGTCCATTTTTTGAAAAACAAGTTTGATGCAGCTGAGCAACAGGGCACTTTAACTGGACAAACCCAAATTTCTGGTGATGGTAGAAATTTATCCAGCATGCCTCTGAATGCCATTTGCTGGGAATCACTAGTGGGGAGAGTGCTGTTGTGCTCAGGTACTGCTTGCGGGTCTTCCCAAAGATTTCTGGTTGGCTACTGTGAGAAAAGGATGCTGAACTAGATAGGTCATTGGCCTGATCCAACAGGGCTCTTCTTAAGTTCTTACTGATTAACTGTACTGCTGAACTGCCATCAAAATGCTCACACACTATCAGCCTGTTCTGATGCTGCTGCATCTCAGGGGAACATCATGCACCTCTCTCTGGAGCATTCTGGCTTTTAAGGACACCCCCTCTCAGTGCCAAACTTCTCTGCTTCCTACTTTACTAGCAATGTCAGGAGACAGACGTGAGACAAGTGAGCCCTGTAATAGCATGTTGCCGTGCGGAGGGTGGTTGCTTTTATTCAGGGTATCAGTCAGCCAGCCACCCTCTTTTCTGGGACTTTCTGTCCCCCACCCCCCTGTTAACAGCCAGACAGCATACTGTTCCTGTTGAGCATAAAGGTAAAGGGACCCCTGACCATTAGGTCCAGTCGCGGATGACTCTGGGGTTGTGGCGCTCATCTCACTTTACTGGACGAGGGAGCTGGCATACAGCTTCTGGGTTATGTGGCCAGCATGACTAAGCCGCTTCTGGCAAACCAGAGCAGCGCACAGAAATGCCGTTTACCTTCCCACCAGAGCAGTACCTATTTATCTACTTGCACTTGATGTGCTTTGGAACTGCTAGGTGGGCAGGAGCAATGGGAGCTCACCCAGTCATGGGGATTTGAACCGCCGACCTTCTGATCAGCAAGCCCTAGGCTCTGTGGTTTAGACCACAGCGCCACCCACTGTGCATACTCAGTCCTTAATGGGGTCTCCTTCTCACTTGCTTGAAAGTTTCTTTTTATATAAAAAATGATTTTTGTGTGAATCCTGGGGTTCCTCCAATCTGCTGATACACCCCTCTTGTGCATGGATGGTGTTGTTTTGGCAACCTAAGGGCCCACACCTGCAGAATATGTTAGCCCTTTCAGCTCTCTTATTGCTGGGAGCAGGATTTTATATGTTCCTAATACTTCACTGCCCCTGAATTGGGACTCCAAAGGTTGCTTGAGATAGTGGAGCAGTAGCTCAAGGTGTCATCATCCAGAC